GTATATTAGTTTGTAACTGTTTCATTCGTTCAAAAAACAGAAATTAATAAATTAATTCTCCAACTAACATACAAATTACAATTTATTTGAGACGTAGAACTTGAGACATGGCTATCTTAGAAAGTCTTTCAAAGAGTTAATATTTATCCTTAATTAAAAACGAATAATAAAAATCTACAAACCGTTTTGTAAGTAACATTGTAATTGATACTTACCTGAGGCCAAAAGAAATCGAAGGTTTTGTCCTCGAGCTGTTGGAAGAGTTAATTCGTTCTTGAATTCGTTTTGGTAGTGAACGCCCTCTATCAAATGATTAAGTATCACTTCTGAAAATAAAAATGAAGTAAACAAATGTAATTAATGTTTAGTTTTTAAAGATTAATTTTATTAAACGTAACGCTATCTACGTATAAAAATTAATTATATTAAACCTAATGTTATCTGTGTATGATATATAGCTAAATTCTACCTTTTAAAGCCTCCGGATTAACCAATAACTGTTGTAGATCATTCTCTGGAAGAGCAGCAAAAGCTTCGTCTGTCGGAGCAAAAATTGTGTATGGACTTTCTCCTGTAATAATAACAATAATCATCGTCACAAAAAATTGTGTATGGACTTTCCCCTGTAATAATAATAATAATCATCGTCACAAAAAATTGTGTATGGACTTTCTCCTCTAATAATAACAGTAATCATATTAACAAAAACTGTATATGGACTTTCTCCTGTGATATTAACAATAGAAATTGTGTATAGATTTTTTCCTGTAATAATAACAATAAAAATCATCACAAAATACTATCACAGGTAAAATCATGCAGAAATCAGTATTACTTTCACATCTAGACATAATTTGTTTTTCCAATTTAGCTACAAACCTTTCTTCAATGCTTTACAACGTTTATATTCCTCGTGCCGCTTTCGATACTGAATTGTTATAAAATATGATACATTTTATTTCTCGAATGTATTAAATCAAACTAATTTCTTCAAGTACCAATCTGAGTATTGGCTAACAATGCCTTATTTCTTCAACTACCCATCTGAGTATTGGCTAACAATGCCCGATTTCTTTAACTACCCATCTGAGTATTGGCTAATAATGCCTGATTTCTGCAATTACCCATCTGAGTATTGGCTAATAATGCCTGATTTCTTCAACTACCCATCTGAGTATTGGATAATAATGCCTGATTTCTTCAACTACCCATTTGAGTATTGGCTAATAATGCCTGATTTCTTCAACTACCCATCTGAGTATTGGCTAATAATGCCTGATGTCACCTTTATCATAAATGGATAAGAAGTAAGCTAAGCAAGCTGTTTCTCGTTAAACAATAAAGCACATTTCATAATAACATCTTCTTACTTCAGCTGTATTCTGTAAACTTTCTTCATCATTATCTATTTGCTCTTTATTATGATTAGATTCCTCGTAGTGTTAGTTACAGCAACAACAAAATTACTTTCCACTAATAAAGATATATATAAAACAATATTGAATTTATTCTATTTATGACTTTCCAGCAGTAATTGTATACATAAACGCTGTTGAATTTACTGTACTTACAACTTTTTTTAGAAAGGAAAGACACCAGCTTTTCTTCTCTTTTTCAGTAAAGAACAAAAAATTACAAGTTCAAGTTACTTATGAGTGAATTTATTCTACTTATGACTTTCCAGCAGTAATTGTATACATAAACGCTGTTGATTTTACTGTATTTACAACTTTCCAGTATGAATGGTACACACAAACGCTGTTAAATTTACTCTACTTACAACTTTTTTTAGAAGACACCAGGTTTTCTCCTGATTTTCAGTAAAGAACAAAAAATTACCAGTTCAAGTTACTTATAAGCATTTCTTTAATTCGAGTTCCGAAACGTTATAAAAACAACAACAAGGGAATCTCAACGTTTAAATGTTATATCATAATCATACTTTAATTTACACAAAGTTCTAAAACGATTAAAGTGTAATTTGTTAAGTGTTCACATCATCTTATGAACCAACGTTTGGTTTACGCAGTCTGTGGGGACACTTTAACTGATATTTTATTTCGTAAGTTTGTTTCAGTCTGTTCGATTCAATGTTATTTGATAGTCGTCTGAGTCTGACCATTTAACTCCTCTAGGGGCATTTGATATGAACAATATTAATTATTGACTTGTGACTATAACTGATGAAATAAACAAATAAAAAGATTAAAATTAAACATAATGTCGTTAAATCGTCAAGTTGGAATATAAATAAGAGTGGCATTGACTCGTCAAGTATTAGTTCTTCGTAGAAAATTATAATGAATTCCAAGTATATCTTCTATAATTCATATCTTACGATACCAAGCTTACCAGTAAGTGTTTCTTCTAGTCCTGCCCGCACAATTGATGTTGCTAACCGAGCTAGGCTGGGGTGGCTTTTAAGTTCTGTGAATATATCAACCGATGGCAATGGGTAGTTGAATCCAGTGATAATGTAAATGTAACCATTTAGGGCTGGTGTTGAAGCTATTACCTTTGATCCTTCAACCAAGACGTTCTGCAGGAAAATACAATAATGATATATCACTCTAACTCTAAATATGTGATATAATAATGATGTATCACTCTAACTCTAAATATGTGATATAATAATGATATATCACTTTAACTCTAAATATGTGATATAATAATGATGTATCACTCTAACTCTAAATATGTGATATAAAATGATATATCACTCTAACTCTAAATATGTGATATAATAATGATATATCACTCTAACTCTAAATATGTGATATAATAATGATATATCACTCTAACTCTAAATATGTGATATAATAATGATATATCACTCTAACTCTATTGATATATTATTAGCTTAAGCAATTATCGTAAATAATGGTGCTTGATACGACTGTACCGAGTGCATACGGATGATAACAAGAAACTATTAATCGAGTTTCCATGGTGTTACTAAAAACGAAGTATATTAACACTGTTTTAAAGAGGAAACTACCACCATATATTTTGAAGAATCTGGTTGGTTCTGTAAAGTATAGGTTTGTTCCGAATAATAGGGTTGCGATCCAAACGCTAATGTTGGTTACTATCGAGTGTCACTTTCTTACTTGTTGGTGTGTATTGACAAAAAATCATGATATTTAATATAAAAAACACCTTAGTTGTGAAAAAAAAGGTGCAGCCAAAAATAATTGAACATTCGACTTAAAGGAATGAAATCAAAATTGGCAGCCAAACTTGTAGCTACACTTATAGCATTGATAAAAATTTTACAGCAAATATTCATTCATTAGTTAACCAGGTCGCGTATTTTGTTTTGCCTAACGTCATGCCCCAAGTTGAACAAAACGGTGTTTTTTATTAGATTAAACTTTACTTTGTTTAACTGGTGTAATAACATACAAGACATTATTAAACCTTTATTTGTTCAACTGGTGTAATAACATGCAAAACATTATTAAATTTTACTTTGTCTACATTTTATGATAACATTCAAGACATAATCCAACCTTGCTTTATCGAAATGATATGATAACATTCGAGGCATAATCCAACATTGCTTTGTTTAAACGGTATGAAAAAATTTAGACATAATTCACACTTACGTAATCTATCCAATGACTTTCAAGGTATATAAGCCATGTTTGGTCTAACATACTTGAGAACATTAAATACATAAGTTAAGCATTATTTATTTAAACTAGATTAACGGATTGAGGTAATATTTGAGAAGAAAATCGCTGTGTATTAATGTATCCTCTGAAATAATCGTTTCATAGATTAATATCTTCAGTTTGAGAGACTGTTTATCATCTTTAGAAATCTGAAGAACGAAATATTAAAAAGCAAGTAACAAAACTTGTAAAATGGATTTTGAGATTTTAAAATTGAATTTTTCCTATCTCTCTACCTTTCCACCGTCGAGAACATTAATAAATATCCGGCGGCCGTTGTTTGTCTCTATAACCATGTTATTTTGAAGGCTCTGTGGGTTGATGGAGAAGTTTATGATATGGAAGAGAAGTACGCGCTGCAGAAGCTCAGTGTTATTTTTGAGTTCCTTCACAAGTCCCTCGGGAAGTCTCGAAAAAGCGTCATCAGTTGGAACGAGTACAGTGAAAGGTTCTGTTTTTTTGAAAAGAAAACTTTTTTTATTTAACAAAACGGTC